GTTATGTCCACCCTCAAAGTGATCTCCACAAATACGTGCATTATCGGCGTCGATTTTTAATGTTGCATTACGAATTAGAATTTTGTACTGTCTTCGTAATTTTTTGTCCTTTGGAATTCGGTAATACGAAAGCTCATCCTTGGTTCTGTAATTATTCGTACATCCAGGAACACAACAATTAGCATGCTTTACCATTTTTTTCTTTAGTGTTTTGCGAAAACTTTCCTCGCTACCGCCATTTTGAAGTTTCGCGCGTCCACCCAAACGATCCCAGACGACTCTACGAGTCAAGTTCGTGCCCAGATTCCCAATAGTTTCTGGAGTGGGGAATTAGAAGTTGTGTCGCCCTCATCTTTTGTTAATTTTAATAACGGTTTCAAACGTAGTATGACATGACTTTTGAAGCTTGGGGGTTCGAACGTCCGATATTCAAAACCTTAAAACAACAATCGCAATGTTGCGACTGCTTAGTAACCTTGTGAAAAAATGTCCCTCGCGCAAGTTCCTAATTTAAAGGGACTCCATCTTTTATAAATTTTTCTCCGAAATACCAAACGGCACATACATGACTGAAAATAACTACAATAAGCACTCATTGTCTACCTGCGGTTGTGCTGGTATCTCACATCTGGTCGCCACCCCTGAGGCCGATGGAGGAGGTGTTTCATAAGACTTGGCGGGATCATCATCCTCTGACACGTCCATGGAATTGCCTTCAGCTACAGCAAGAGAAAATCAAGTAAAAAAGACTGTATTTTTTATGTGCTTCTTTCTTACAACTTAATCTACTTTAAACTCTTGAAATCCTAAGATTGACGAGCATCCTCTGTCTCCCTACAGTAAACTGCCGCATCGTTCATTAAGATCATGAGAATAGGGAAATGATTACCAACCTAAGCAGAGGTTTTGCAATTATTGATCTAACCTTCTAAGTTAAAATCTAAGATTATCTCTTGAGGATAAAATAGTTGGCACTTTAAATAGAAATTATCTACTAGGCAATCTGATAATTCTGGGTAAACTATGTTAATGGGATTGTGAAAAAAACAAATCAGTCCCAAAGTTTAATTTTTTTCCACACAGAGTAGAAGCCAGGCAGGAGATTGAAAGGCTTACCGCATCAGGAAATAAGAGGCTTAAAGAGTTAAGGAAAATATGGGCACCATTACTTTAATGATTTTTGCATTTATCTGTTTGCTTCAATTTATCATTTTGCGATACCGAGCAGAGAGAATATGTGGTCTGTTCATTCAAAATCTGCATTATCTATTTTTGTTTTTGACATACTTTAGCTCAGATCTCTAATTGAAGTATTAGCATTGTGTCTGTGATTTTTACAACTAAAAAATCGTCATGTAAGTATTGTGAGTATAATATAATTTGCAGTGTAAACTAATTACGAAAAACATCATTTCGTAAGTGGTCTATGTAGAGTAAGCTAATTATCTAAAACATCGTAAAGTAGTGTAAGTATCACATAATTTGTGGTGTAAGCAATTGAAAAACATCCTCTTTTAAGTAGTCTATGAAGAAAGAGCCAATTATCCTAAAAATCGTAAATTAAGTAGCGTAAGTATCATAAAATCTGTAGTGTAAGCTAATTGAAAAAAGATCCTTTTGTAAGGAGTCTATGCAGTGTAACCAAATTATCTACAAAATCGTCAAGTCATATAATTTGTAGTGTAAGCTAATTGAAAAAAATTCCTTTCCTAAGTTGTCTATATACTGTAAGCTAATTATCTACAAAATTGTAAAGTAGTGTAATATCATATAATTTGAAGTGTAAGCTAATTGAATAAATTCTTTTCTAAGTAGTCCATGTAAAGTAAGCTAATTATATAAAAATCGTAAAGAAAGTAGTGTTAGTATCATATAATTTTTAGTGCAACGTAATTGGAAAGAAAAACCTTTTGCAAGTGGTCTACGTTGTGTGAGCTAATTATCTACAAAATTGTAAAGTAACTAGTGTAAGTATCACATAATTTGTAGTGTAAGCTAATTGAAAAAGAAAATCCTTTTGCAAGTGGCCCTTAACGTAATGATTGATAAGTGTAGGGGTAGCAATGTACGTATCGTAAACATCGTTAGTTTCGCAATTACTGTAGGTGTTTTACGTGCTGTTAGTACTGTACTAATGCATGTAAATTCAAAGTTACTAAAGACAACTGATAGAAAATAAAAAATATATATATATATAAATAAAATAATTAGTTAAAAAATCTAAGAGGCTATGATTGTTAAAAAAAAATTCTCCTCGCCAGTACCAAGGAAATGTATAGAGAAGGGTATGAAGAACATGGCTACTGACGTTAAGGAGTTAAAGTACACCTAAACCCAATTTTTTTTTTTCGCTTAACGAAATAAGCGTACTTTTTGGAGTATTTCCGGGTAATGTGACGTCAAATCGAGAACACGAAAGTCTGCATTTCACACATTTTCACTTGTTTGGGAAGGTTGTCATCGATATTGTCCGAAATATGCCGACTAGGTGTGTTGTATGAGGAATGTATGAAGCGCGATACCCTCTTGCAAATTTCGCACGTTACTACATTCTCCTATAACACACTTAGTCGGCATATTTTCGTACAATATCGACTACAACTTTCCCAAACAAGTGAAAATGTGCGAAATGTAAACTTTCGCGTTCTCGATTTGACGTCACATTACCCGCTAGAACCATTCCTCTTTAAACTCGGTCGTGGGCCAAGATAGCGGCCGATTTTCCCTATTTTGATTAGGCACAGAAAATTGAAGATTTGAGCAAATAAAAAAAATTTTGCAGAGGAATACTCCAAAAAGTACGCTTATTTCGTTAAGCGAAAAAACATTTTCGGCTTTAGGTGCACTTTAAGGGTTAACCCAACAAACTTCCAGATATTCAGCATCGAGGGTCAAAGCCAGCTTTACTATTTCTAAATGGTCGTGCTCTTTTTATGTTTTTACTAAGAAAAATTTCCTCTTTTGGATGGATATGACACAATTCAAATTGTTTCGTACCCATCGAAAAGAAAAAATCAATCTAAAAACTCCTTTTGTAAGTGGTCGATTTAGAGTAAGCTAATTATCTAAAAAGTCGTAAAGTAAGTAGTGTAAGTATCATGTAATTTGTAGTGAAAGCTAATCGAAAAAAATCCTTTCCTAAGTAGTCCATGTAGTGTAAGCTAATTATCTACAAAATCGTAAAGTAAGTAGTCGAAGTATCACATAATTTGTATTGTGAGCTAATTGAAAAAAAATCCATTTGTTAGTGGTCTATGTAGAGTAAACTAATTATCTACAACATCGTAAAGTAAGTAGTCGAAGCCTCACATAATTTGTATTGTAAGCTAATTGAAAAAATCCTTTTCTAAGTAGTCTATGTAGTGTAAGCTAATGATCTAAAAAATCGTAAAGTAAGTAGTGTTAAGTACCACATAATTTGTAGTGTGAGCTAATTGAAAAAAGTCCTATTGTAAGTGGTCTTAAACGTGAGTACTGATAAGTATAGGGGTAGCAATGTACGTATCGTAAACATCGTTATTTTGTAATTACTGTAACTGTTTTATGATATTCTGCACTGAGGGTCAAAGGCAACGCTACTATTTCTAACTTGCAGTAAATGACTTGAACCCGGGGTAACATGTGAAAATGTAGTGTGATCCCGCTGAAAATTTTTCTAACGTCAATTTACTTTCAGTACAACGGTAAACACTACAAACAGTTACACAGCATAGCCATGGGGTCTCCCGTTTCTGATGTTATAGCAGAAATTGTGATGCAGAACATCGAGGAGCGCGCCCTTTCGACCTGCCGACAAAACGACATCGCTTTGGTTACGTTACGTTGACGACACATTCACCGCCGTACGACATGACGAAATCGACGCATTCCACCACCACCTTAACGGACAAAACACTGACATACAGTTCATCAGAGAAGTCGACGAAAATGGCAAACTTCCTTTTCTAGACTGTATGGTAAGCCGTAACGACAACTCACTACGGACGACAGTTTACAGAAAACCCACACACACCCACAGATTACTAGACGAGTCATCCTACAACCCTACATCACACAAAGCCACAATTATTAGAACTCTAACACGACGCGCGCAACTAGTATGTGACTCGACAGACAGCTTATCCGACGAGAACAAATTCCTTCACCGTGATTTTTCGAAGAACAACTACAACGATGACTTCAATCGACGAAACACTCACCGACCCACTACCACTACCGAAACAAATGACACCGCAATTCCTACGACTGCAGGAACCATACCGCACAAAAAAGGCACGTCTGAGAACATCTCGCGCATCTTACAACCCTTTAATATCCGCGTCGCCCACAAACCCATCACCACACTACGTCAGTTACTAACTAACGTTAAAGACAAGGACGAACCGAGGAACAGACAGGGAGCGATTCATAAGATCAATTGCTCCGACTGCCAAGCCTCTTACATCGGAGAGACTGGCAGAAACCTCGCAACAAGACTGACTGAACACAGACGGGCGACGAGAAAAGGTGATGTCAACAATCACATTGCTGAACATTGTCGACTTACGAAACACAATATTGACTGGGATTCTGCGCAATGCCTAACCTACAGCACTGACTACTTTCAACGAATGACTCTGGAAAGCTGGTGTACTAACTTAGAACAGACTCCCCTAAACATATGTCAACTACTACCGGCTCCATACAAAGGACTCATTCACGACATAAATATTACAAATGAACCGAACAGAACGACCTAACTTTACCAACGGATCGAAACAGACCAATCACGACCGACTTACGCCACTTGAGTCTTACAACCAATAACATCATGGCAAACTGACCAATCAATTTACACGAACTGAAATAAGAACATTCTACTGACAACAACTATTCACTTGACTCTGATGATGACTTCCCAGCCATCAAAAAGAAAAAATCAATCTGAAAAATCTCCACAATCTGTCACTGTAACTAAACTGAAACAAATTCAGGCTTGTGCGGGAGTTTAACTTATGACCTCTGAGATACCGGTTCGGTGCTCCATCAACTGAGCTAACAAGCCAACGGAGAGCTGGTCATTTTGATGGTTTATAATACAATCGTATCGTGATGAGTGACGGCTCTGAATAAATGAATATCGTATATTTGAAATGAAAATTATTAACCATTTCCTGTCGGTAAAAATGTGGCGTGCTCACCTGTGCTGGGTTTAAACATTCGACACATGATGAAGTTGTACGTATCAAGCAAATAATCGATGATCAGCATAATACGACTGTGATTGAACAAGAAGGTTAGCAAGGTTTTTCTGGTCGTGTCTCTGTAGTGAACCTCGAACTGAAGCGAATTCTCCTGCTCCGGGGTGGACGCTGATGATTTTCTTGGCAAAAGAATGTCAGTGAAGATACAGCAATCAGAGTTATCCAGGTCCATACCTAGAGAGGAACCCCGCAAAAAAAAAATCATCAAGATTTTTTGTAACGCATTTCCAATTGGTCTTTTATCTTGGAACTTCGACTTTGCACTAAAAACGGAGTGGAAGCCTCATATACAACCATTTAAAAGAAAGAAGTCTAGTGGACAAAATGAGAGAGAGCTAAGGAGACGCCATTTTTTAGTGCGTTCCGTAATGACGCTCACGATAGCATGCAGCGAGGATGAGTAATGCGATTATGTGGAATGACCTTTATAACAGAATAAAAAGACTCTGTCCCCAAAACTTGTTGTTTTCTCCAACACTGCAACCAGTATCGCTCTTGGCTTTTTCTAAACAGGGCTTTGAGACGGTTAATACTGTTCCACAATGTTGTTGTCTGGAGTTCCTCCAGCGATCCAAACCCACGATATTGTTGAATTTGCAAATTTATGTAATCCTCTGATCGACTGTACTTCATGACACAAAAACTATGATATCAAAAAGTAATTCGCTTTTAGATCCCGGGGAGAGCGAAACTGATTCACTGCAATTGAAAAGTTACCTTTTTGTCTGGTGTCTTCAAAGATGACCTCTTCTGAAACCAAATCAACAGTCTTTGACCAATCAGAGAAAGATACAAACTCAAACTTGGATTTAATGAAGTCTATCCTGGCCAAGGATGGCAGCTGGGCGTGGTCTAGGTTATCTTCTGGGTGATCAAAGAGTTGAATGGGGAGAAGCTCTAGACTAACATTCACGAGGTCAATGCTCATTCTCAGGCTAGTCCAAACCTCCTCTTCCTCTGGGGGCTAAAATGATAAGGCAATTACCTTTCGAAACCTTACTTGGCTCTCATTTTTACTCTGACATGCATCTTTGCTAGTTACATAAAACGTTTGAAAACTGTAACAAAGAACGTAGGCATAAATGACAAGAATGCCTAAAGTGTAAGTGTTAGATTGACGTGATTAACGTGCTGATTTAATGTGGCTTTTGCAAGTTGTGTCCACATCTTCCTTTAGTCATAATTCATCTTTCATGGAGTCAAATATAAGAATTTCAAAGTAATCTGTAGAGCAAGATTTGCGGCAATGATTCGACCTTTGAAAAAGTTTAAAGACGCGAAACTTTGGGAATAACTATGCCCTATGGCTCTATCTTCACCTTGCTTTCTGTAAATTCCGCTTTAAAAGTAAGCAAACCTTAACTACAAACTAATTAAACAAACTAAAGCCTAATACCACCTCCGCCCTAAATTAAGCAGTAGCGATTAAAACATGAATGGGATTTTTATAATCATGACCTTAAATTAAGCAGTAGTGATTAAAACATGAATGGGATTTTTATAATCATGACCTTTCCGAGAGGATCTTGGATGACTGAGGACGGCCTCTCAAATTCTTCCAAAGGTTCCCCGAAGTTTTCTCCCAGCATTCCAAGAATGAAACAGTACTGTGAGTAATCCAAAGATGCACACAAAGACGAAAGACGGCCACTGAAGTTGAAGTCTGGAACTAAATTACAATTTCGTATTAGCCACGCCTAATGACAAATAAAACGCATATTAACATGTTCTTCTGAGGCAAGTACAGCAAGCGAAAGGGCCACACCTAAACTGCCCTCCAATATGTAGTTTGGTGGTTCTGTTGGTAGATCATTGCACATGTACCGCAGAACTCCTGTTCACTTATCCTAATATCGATCGTCAGCGGCACTTGAAATTATTTGAATTTGTCTGAATATGGTTCACAATTTTCGAGTTTTTAACACATTGAATTTTCACGTCGGTATCGATTTGATCTCCGTGCCGGTGGAGCTATTTCTTGTTAAATCACCCCTCCTAACCATGAAAACGAGGCTTGGCGGTTAAACGGTTGGTTATTGTGACACAATGAAGCATGGTCTATGGTGAATTCGCAGCAGAAATCACTGACTGATCATAGCCGCATTAAGGTCACTGCTTAAGCCTTTGGTGTTTGTGGTACGAGTCGTGTAAACACCTAATAATATGCGCCAAAAGTGATCAGGGTCCAATAAACCAGAAAACATGGTGAAAATGGTCCTTACAAGTTACTTTACAAGAACATGTAAAAGTTCAGAAAGTGGCAGCATGTTACTAATGGCAACAGTAAACAGTTATTGATGATTGGTGATTGATGCTCTATCTGAATAAACGTGTATTTCCTATTACCTGCTCTACTAAATGCCCAGTCCAAGTTACGTTCCACTATTAAATTCAGTTTGCATTTCTCTTTGAGCAGTTTTAAGCCCTGTAAACAAGTAAACAGAACAAAGCTTCAAACTCAATCGCCAGAAGCTAAATTTTCGAGCAGTACAGAACAAAAAACAATAATCTTCACTTGTCTTCTTTCTTGCCCAAAATACGAGTAATTACAAAAACATAAAACAATAAAATTAGAGTGCTTGCTGCCCGGAATATCCGTAAGGGCTAGCGGAGCTAGGCAGCTAATTGACAAAAGTATTTAACTACAGAGTCAATTACAGGTCGGCAGGGCAGCAAAATCTCTCGCATTACCTAGATAGGAAAAGATGATAAAATAAAAAGAACACAAATACAGATTCACAAGAAGACAGAGAACGCGAAAAATAGACAAACAAACAGACGGACAGACAATGTGCATTACTGACCCCTAACCTATAACTGAACCAGGCTATAACTAACAAGGAATACATTAAAAGTGGAAATTTTAAAATTTTTCCAAGTCAACAAAATTAAAACCTGGCTTTTGTAAGAAAACTTCGAAGGCGACTGCTGATTGTTCTCTTGTACTCTTGTGGCTGTAAAGAGATCCATGTCTACCAATTCAATGTTCATACTATCCAACAAACAGTCACGATGGGAACTCATTCCTTAAACAAAAAGGAGACATGGATGAGTTTGACAAGAAAGCAAAATATACTACAATAACTCTGAAATGACTCAGCTTACTATCATGGACCTCTTTAAATTCGTCAGAAAGGACCGGTCCCTTTTCTCAAATATTAAAGGTCAGGCCTATGAACTTATGATTTTTATTCACCAAACTGGTGCCATCTTTTGGGAAGGGCTATTCGGTCAGTTTTCTCTAGAACCGGGCTACTCGCAAAACGCACAAAATATTGCATTCGTCCAATCACAATAGTGAAGACCACACAAATAATTGCCAATCCTCAGCTATTGAAATCACATACTAGACACACCTATGTCCTCAATAGGGGTTAACTTTTGTTCCCTAAGCATCGACGAGATCCAGCTTGCTTTGTTTTGCCGCGCAGACTTGATTAAATTATAAGCGCCACTCAAAAGCTCCTGCTGCAAATTACCTTTTTAATCTATCTTTTCTTAACTTACCAGAATCTCCTTGAGATGATGCTCGTTGCCTTCGTTTTGAATGTTCCAATGTGCCTGGTGAACCTTCCCAAAGAAAACCATTATTAACAGTAAGGTTCCCCAGATCTGCTACCAGCATGTGTGAGGACTTGGCTGAGCGAGGTACCAAAATGACTGGATTTCCTGCTTTGACGTCAAGCGCTACTCGACTTCCACGTCCAATCATCCAAGAAACCTGAGATGACATCCCCGAAACAATCTCAACGCGTAAGTAAACTCGAACTCACATCAACAAATAGATTTTGTGTTGCTGTGTGGCTGTTCACTAATACACATGTAGGTCACAGAAGACGTAAATATGTGGTAAGAGTTAAAAGGTGGCACACGAGGCGCAGCCGAATGCGTTGTTAATGTTCCTATCACATTCTGACGTTGCCTGTGACCTTCATGTGTATTGCCGAACAGCCGAACAGCCGAACAGCCGAACAGTCGAACAGCCGAACAGCAACATAGAATCAACTTGTTTTTTAGGTTGTTAATGATGACGTCATCTATGCGTCTGTTCTCCAGCAGATGGTATCTTGTCGTTTCGTACTCACGGTCTTTCGTATCCAGTCTTTTCGTACCCAAATACAGTCGATTCGCACCCAAGTTTAAGTCTGTTCGTACCAAAATCGCTGATCGATCCATACATTTATTCGAAATACCTCACGCGACAGCACGTCAACAGATGTCAATCGTTGCGTATGACAAGTAAATAGAGTCAAGCGAGTGAGATACAAACAAAATTCTGTTGTGAACACTTGTGAACTTCAAAAACAACTTAATTATTGCCTAACGCAAGGCAAGTGCGATGTTTTAAAAGAAAAGTCTGTCTCGTGACTTTTAAACAATAACAGCTCGTGTAAGCTGTCCCCTAGTACAGTCCTGGTGCCACAGGAAACTAACTTGTGTGTCTGAGCGGCTGACATACCTCAGCTTAAAGAGGAGTTTTCAAATACTCGGCACCCCTGATTTCTGACATCAGGGCCTCCAGGCACAAAGTGATTCCTCTGAAAGTTCAGCCATGAGTGGTATGGAATTTTTTAAAAGTTCTTCAAGAGACGACTTACCTCATTTCCTTCCGAGGCAGCTCTCATCCTGCCTAAGACTTCCTGGAGCTGCAGATAATGTTGGAAGAAGACTACCAGCTCTGTCTGAAATCGCTTTGTATGCACATACTGTACAGATGACATCCGTAATTTTAGACTCATGTCATTCTCCCTCTGCAAGTCGGGATCTGGGGTACCGTACTTGTGGAAATTAAAACTCAGAGCTTCATCTCCAAAAGTTGTAAATCTGATGAAGATATCCAAGTCAGTAAGCGTGTAACCTAACTTTTATGAAGGGAACGAGCTCAAAGAATCTCGCTTATTCTGTAACAACGATTAAATGCATTTTCTAAGTGCTACGGTAATTAAATACTGTATTTACGATATTAAATGTAACTACGTCCCACAAACAGAGTTCAGGGTCTGTACGTTTACTCGAAGCACAAAGAATTTTTCCCTTTGAAATGCCAAAAACAAACGCCAACCAAACACATTAAAGATGGACCGTGCTGCCAAGAAAAGCTGTAAAGATCGATTTATTGGTAAGCTGGTCTTCAGCGAGTGTGAAATCGGGCTGAGATATCTTCTGCCATCTACATCTGGTAAATCAAACCACAGCAATGTCGAATACGTTTTTCCCTTCTGCATTTGAAGAAATCTCTGTTACCGTTATTGGAATGATTTTTGCGCGCCATGCAAAATTATCATGAGGGAAAACAAAAAAAAGTCAGTCAAGATCATAGAAAAACACCTAAAATTTTACAACGAATCAAAAGGATATCGCGTGGTTAAGAATGGAAAAATTGACAAGCACTACAAACGGTCAACTTGAAATTTCCATCCCATATCTGAGGTAGAGAAATTTCAGTAACTAAGTTTTAAACGTGGAGGGCGCGACAGAAAAGATTCCGTTTAAAACAAAAATCTGTCAGTTGCTCTGCCATTCATTCACCCCGACAAGCGCCTGAAATGTATATTTTGGGCCACATCCTATCAATAAATCGGTTTCGGGACAGGAATAAAACAAAGATTTTGCTGTTGCTTTTTGTGTTCCGTGTTACATTATTATTCAAAGCAGCGACTTACTTTTCCCTGTACAGAGAACCATGTGGTGACATGTCTGTCACTGACAAACTGGACAATTTACCCTTGGCAGTAAAGTTTCCATCGCTCATGTTTACTTCCGTGGAAAGCCCAAAGGCGTTAACTTTTGCTATGGGATATCTTGTTTTACTTAAGGTCAAAGTCAAAGACAAAACTTGAAATTTGACATCAGTGTTTATGCCTTCGGCTTCTGTCTGTTCTATACCTTTCAAGAAGAAAAAAAACAGCTTAGTTTACTTACAATAGTCCTTTTTACAGTTGTGGGCTTGGTGGCCAAGCCTTTGAACAGGAGTGAGGCTTAGGGTGACCTTGTTATGATGGAGAAGTTGCTACCTTTCAAATGCAAAATACTTTATTATCATGCTAACTAGATACAGGTCTCTATCACAACAGGGTCACCCTTAGCCTCACTCCTGTTCAAAGGCTTGGCCACCAAGCCCACAACTGTAAAAGGGACTATTCATCATACGGGTGAATATCGTTGTAGAATTACAATGTCATCTCTCTTAGTAGACGATCCCTTTGCTTCACAGTTCATGTTCAGGTTCTCTTTGCTTTTATAAATTCGGCGGCGTCATAACGAATTTTTTGCACGTCAGGCAAGCTATTTGTCTATACAAATTATGTATGCTGTTATTTTGCAAAAGAAACTTCTTTAAATAATTTAAATTAAGAAAAAGGAAGAAGGAGGAATATGCCAGGATTAACAAGTTTGTGCATTTCAGTGAAACGAATGTAAAAACGAAAACATCATTAAATAATTCTATTAATCAATAAAGAGTCTCGTCAGAGTTTGATGTACTTGGGATCTCTCGGGTTACTGGGCACTTTGTCAATAGTACAGTAGAACCCTGCTGACTCAAACTCCCAAAGGAAACAAAGAGTTAGCTGAGAGAAAACGACTGAAAAAATGGGTCAAGGGAAGTCAGATCTTGTTCGAGTTAACGGGGTTTGGAGTTAACCGAATTCGAGGAAGTGGGGTTCCACTGTACACAATCCAAATCCAAGGACAGTATGTAGAGTGAAGATTTCAAAAAATATCGAGTTGATGACAGGAAAACAGAAGAATTAATTTACCCTGACCTAAAAACAAATGTAGTTGAAACAAATCTAGTTGCGGCCCATTCTATCATGTTAACTTAACCTAAATGTATCAATTACTACACTACATCTTTGAAATAAGAGTTTACCTTCCATCTGGGTGTCCTGTTGCTCTTCATTAGTAGTGTCACTTAGTTCGTTAGGTTGTGGAGATAAAGGGTTTGGACTTGACGGCTGGGAAGCAGATGGCTGTTGTGGAACACCAATTCCAAAGAATTCTAACACTATTACCCAAGTTTGTAAATTTAAATTTGCCTCTAGCGAATTGAAGTCCACCTCTATAATTCGGTTGACCTACCCAAAACAGAAAAAAGGGAGGCACGAAGGAATGAACGGTACATCAACCAAATGTGTCTTATTCGTACAGTGTATTTATTGCCTATCTAATCAAACCCTCTACTATAAAATCACTTGCCGATTTTTTAAACCTTTCACTAAAATATAAATCAAGATAACCAAACTCTATGGCATGCTCGGAAGAGTGTCCTTTAATACTGCGATTGTTAATCATGATGCATGTATGACAAATATAATTTCGATCCCTATCCAGTCTCGACCTCGGTAACCTTCATTTGGAAAAAGCCCCTTTAAGTGTCATGCGATGTTAGACAAAGAAACTTCAAAAAGCACTGAAACACATGACTGCACCTAACAGTACCGCCCGCGTGTACCGCAGCATTACACGCGCGTGAAGCACACAGTCTCACGCACTGCACGCACGAACACGTACACTGCGCGTCACTACAAGCGTGTAATTTATCTACTGCACACGCGTAACGACAAGCATCGGAAGCGCATGTAATTCCCACGCATTTCACACGCGCGTGAAGGTGCTGCAGTGCACGCGAGCGGCACTGAAATATGTACTCAAAATGAGGTGTGTATGAGCCTGCGCATGGCACTTACCGAGTTGTAGTTGGTACTAAATTCTAAATCATTCTTGTCAATCAAATGGACATTGATGTGCACAAGGTTACTTCCTTTCTTGTCTTTGATGACTGTATTTGAAGTACCCAGGTCTTCTTCTTCTACCGAGGATTCGCTATCCAAGGTAGCATTAACAGAAGGCATGGAAGGAAATTTTTGATTCTTTAACAATGGTCTCAACGGAGCCAGTGAACGAAATGGCCCTTGTCTGGATGACGTGGGAAGACAGTGTGGAACTGATGAAGAAAAATGCGAGTGAAGGCCAGCGTCAGAAACGACAGGACAAGATAAGGAAAGACTCGAAGGGCACGTAGACAGAGAACGTTCTTTAAGGTGACGTTGGCGTGGAACAGAAGACGAAATGAGATATCGATAAGGAGATTCTTGCTCCTGAAGTAGATCTTCCACGAGAAGACCACCGAGAGAGACGTTGAACAAAGTAACAGTTGGTCTTGTGTGCTCATAAGCCAAATTGAAGTCAGAAAACATTATGTCGACAAAGTCGTGATCAACTTTGTTGAGCTCACCACAGAGTTTGATGCTTAAGTGGGGCACCTCAAATAATGCACGTATTGGAGTGGGGTCGTCAGATTCACTCTCAAAGTGAGCAGTTGATTCATCATGAACGTTCTCTTCCACGAGATTTGGGATAAATGTAACATGCTTTTCTGGCAGAACTTTGTCAGGAATACAAGCCTCTAAATTCGAAGCTGATGAACTGAAAAAAAATATATACAATAAAATTAAAGACAAACCTTAACACTTCTACATTAGAGCGATAACCCTTAGTAACTTTTGACCGAAGAGACAGGAACAGTGAATTTGTACTTTATCCTTGAAAGCCTCAATGATCATATCATTCAGACAGTATAAAAAGTAGAAAAATGGTCACTTCTCTTGCAGCCAACAGGCACAGTTCCAAAAGGAAGGTTGCTCATTCATGGAACATAAATTAACGAGACCCTTTTACAAAAACCGCACAAATGCTTTTTAAACACTTTACTTAAAAACGTACTCTGGCATCATGAAAATCGCCAGGTACAATTGAGACAAAGACAGAGAATAGCTTACCTTGGAGAAAGAGTGCTTGGTGATTGGGAGGTGGGACTAGCTATAGAGGAACTGTGCATTCCAGCAGGTGGAGGAATAGGCACTGTTTCCTTACTACCGCCAAGGTTATCTATGGTATCAAACAGCTGACGATAGGAATGAGTTGATAGTTCAAGTTTTAGTGGAGTGGTGACCTTTCCCGAAATTTGAATCGTCGGTTTTTTCAAGTGCAATGACGTACAAACTGCACCCATGGCCAGTGCACCCACATCTTCCGAACGACGGTCGATAACAAGTTCAAATGCTGACTTGTGAAGTATGTGCACGCTGGAGCATTTGGGTGAATGCACGACGTTTGGGCCAGTAAATGGCTCGGAAAACGACGATGAAGAAGCCCTTCCTGATCTACCTGTGTCCATTGCTGTGCAGTACAAGCTCATGTCCTTTACTTCCACAAATAATCGATCAATGTCATGTTCAACACCAGTTAAGTGCCCTGTGTCACTTTCCTGTTCCACAAGTTCTATCAAATGCGTGTTCCTTATTGTAATGCTGCCTAGATGGGCAACAAGGATCTCTGTACTTGAGGACGACGTTGGTAGCTGAACAATCGGCGAGTCCACCGTGATGCATGTGTAAACTCTTTTATTGGGTTTCACAGGAACACTGTCCACAAAGTCACAACTCTCTTGAAGATAATCACTGTCACCTTCGAAGAATATGCTACCTTGGCGACTTCCTAGACTCCTATCATCTTGTGCAGCAGTTGTTACAAACGATGAGGAAAGATAATCAAGTCCTTCGGCCAACGCCCTCTTCTTACTTACAAGACCCATAGCAACATTACTGGCAGCTTGTCGAAGACTTTCTCCAAACTGGGTAGCATATTCAGCATAATCTCCAGCTGATAATAAAAGTTCTGAAAGAAACCTGTGCGTGTGAGTATACTGAGCGGAAGCCATGCGTACGCTTAGCTGAATGTTTCTTGCAATCTCTGCATCATCCAGGTCCCCTTGAGAACCTTTATCTATAGCAATAACTGGATACTGTCCGCCCTTCTTCGGAATCAAGAGTGTAAATGTAAAAGCCTTTCGATCGCTAGGTCCATCTAACATGTCCTCTGGCACTGACCATAAATATGATGAATCTCGTGGGGAAACATCTCCTCCGCCAAGACTTCCACAAGTATACACAGAACGGTGTAGGGAGCCCTCTGGAGTAAGGTCAGTCATTCTGAGACCGCCGAGGGAGCCTTCGATATTTTGATTTTCACCAAGGGAGGCATTCAGTTGAACTTCGCTAACGGACACCTCCGCTACCTTTCGCACAGATTTAACACCGTTCATCTTAATGCTCCTTATAACAAGGACACTAATCGACTTGAAGGACGCAGTCACCTCTGTCATCTCGGACAACTGATCCTAAAAGCCAAAACAATAACTGATTAGAGATGGGGGCACTGGAAACAAACGGAAGAACCATTGTGAGTGGATGAACTTACATCAGGTTGTGGTAAGTAGAAATCAGTAGAAGACTCCTCTAACACTGCTGGCACTTCTCCAAAACTAGCACCAGATTCACCGGAAGTATATGCCGTGTTAAAGAACTGAACCAATGCTGCCAGGGTTTCTTGGTTTGCTATCACACAAAAAAAAATAATTCATTGCCAATTACAATTTGCGGCTAAGTTGTCCATGTCGATCGCGCCCGAAATTGTACTAATCACGCACGAATCCTGCCGATTTTCCATCTGCTATCAAAACGTATGGATAGAAAATACAGAAAATTAAAACTGCCCATTTTTGCATCTTGACCCTCAGAAGGATTTGGAAAATAGCGCTATTAAGGTTCGAATGAGATTTTAAACTCCTGCTCCTAACATATAAATTATTCATTATTCGTCGCTTCCTGGTCAGTCCTTCCAAAGACTTTGCCGTTCGCTCGCCGCTCTTTCGCTCAGGCATCTTGGCTAACTGAGAGCGCGGCACGAGCCAGATAAATAATACTGGATGTTGCATATTTTTCTCAGTGCAGTCTGTGTTCGGTTGCAGAACGCTCCTCGTGACTCAAGACATCTCAACATCGTTCACCTGCACAACGATTATTAATAAAAATGCAGGAAATCATTTCATCCCATATACCGAACTAAAAGTAGTTATACCACTTACCAATTATGTTGAGCTTGTTGAAAGTCAGATTAACTAGATTTACACCACAGCCATTTCTGTTTTTGGTAGAAGGGCTATCAGCATCATAATGTTGGTATTCAAATGTGATAAGATCTTCTTCCTCCATTACGGCTGTCGTTTCGCTCGAGAATGAAGCATCACTGTCCTGCCATTTTCTCTTAGAGCCTGGTCTCACCATATCAGCCAACACGGAGAAGGCACCGCTCACCGTCTCGGAGAAGGATTTTTCACCTACAAAGTAACAACACGTTCACTTGAATAGATCCTTCTGGAAGTCACTCAGTGGTGGCCAGAATTACAATGTATCATAAAAGGAAAACAAAGTATATTTTTATGGTGTAAGTGTGTGCCGCAAATTTTAACTCAAAGAGACTCACATTATTGGTGAAAACACGGTCAGAAGTTGTTCAAACTTAACCAGGTTTATGTAAGTAAAGGTAGAAAACGGACCCACCAACTGCACAGAAGTCTGCATTCTCTTGTAGACAACAAATAATTTGGCTCGACAAAGCTGAATCGGATTGCTGATAAATAGAGGGTACTTTGAGAGGTGTTGATCGTAAATTGTCAATCAAATGATGAAAATAATTTGCATTGGTTTGAATTTCACTACTCGCTGAAATGATAACAATTCACACCACCTCATCCACTCAGTTGCAAACTCTACTAGAAACAAATTTTCCGCTGCGTTTCTTATTACTTTGAGTACTTACTGACCCCTTATGATTCTTATATTTAATTTGACTAACCATTGTAATTACTTTTCTAAAACAAATTATGGTGTAAACTGAAATAATCCTATGCCCAATCACACCAGGAATCAATTAAAAACAAAAGAGATTTCAAATAAATTGAAGGTGGTAACATACTTTTTGAAGAACTAATAGTTTTGTCTCCTGGAGAATTTGTGAGGTGAGGTTTGCATGAAGACAAAAGAAGTTCGTAGTCAGGGCCAAAACTCTGCATCGCATCTACAAGATGCACTCCATGAACAGCAAAGGATGTGACTGAATCATAAGGTCTCTTTAAGTGACATACTTTTACTCCAAGCACTTGAAGCTCAGCTATCAAGCAACCTGCAAAGTGCAAACGAATGGCAAGTATTACGCAAATAGCAAAACAAACTATTTTCTTTTCATGTACATATTTTTTACCACGAGTAACCGTTAACTTAATGTGCCCAACTACATCAAGTGCAAGTACGATGTCAAATAAAACTTTCAAAGTTCAATGGCACTTAAATCGCCATAACGATACCATTTTGAGAATACATCCAAAGAAGAATTGCAAACAATGATATTACCCATGCTGTGAACACCCAAGGAGACTCTGTCAATACTGAATTGAACAAGAAGCATTCTAGACTCTTCCATGAGCTCTTTCGTTTTATCTTCCAATGTTGTATCCACAGTGGACTTGCCGATTCGCCTGAAAAGTATTATAATTCAAGTCAATACCATCATCGCCGCTTTAATTGACTAGCTATTATCAAGCCTGCCAGACTTTAAAAATGTGTTCATGATCGATGGCTGACAAGGTAACTCCTTCGGTCACTAACAGTACCTGGTTGGTGAATCCTTAACCATATCAGGAATCGTGACGCTGCTACTGTACAAACTGTAGTACACATCATCCAAGCTGCTGTCAATTCCTTTAAGAGTAAAAAGGACACTTGTTGAAACACAGGCTGAGCCATACGAGGTAACTGATACGTAGCCTTCGACTGATTGTCCGCGCGCAGTCAAATATTTGAAAGAGAATTAAATCTTACAAGAAAAATGGAAAAGAGTAGGTCTTGTATGTTAACGGAAAATTATAATTTCAAGGTCTTCACGAACAGTTTTGGAAAACGGAGGTAATAGTTACTACGGTTGGTTATACTGATTGTAGTTACAAGAGATATTTTACCGGTGACAGCATTTCAATGTGGTTTTACATTTTCCAAACTGTATTAGGATGATCTAAAATCTTTGCTATTAAATTATCTTCTTTCCTTGACGGCCAGCTGGTACTACAAATGTGTTGGTCCTGTCAACAACCCTCAAATTGTCAAACCAAACAATGTCACTAATAGAAAAAATCTTTCTTACTCTCGACGTGGGGCAGTGGAGTAGAACTGGCAACAATTCGTTGTTGTGTCACCGGTGGTGTGGGGTTGGATACCTTCGGTCGACTCAGCTGTTTGACACACTTTGTCAAGGCTTGAAGCTAACAGAAGAAAGAGGAAAACGTTAGGTCGTGTCCTAGTCGAATCAACCATTTTTGGTTAATTTGGTTGATAATTTTTTTCAACTGCCATCAAACCAGTTTGAGCCGGCTGTCACACTCGTTGTAAACAAAAAACCGACTGACGAGTTACTTGATAAGTGCTCTTTAGATACAATGGATAAGAAAGAAGTGGGAAATTGATAAGCGTGAAAATCTACTAACATTAGGAATCGAAGCATAACACAGATATCGTTCGTCACGTACTGTGGTCTCCGCGCAACTTGCTTATGCGGAGAAGACCATTCCTTGAAGTTACTGCGTTTCAACCAAAAACGGTTGGTAATGTGTTTTATTAGAAGACTTCTTCCACTTCAATCTAAATTAGTTGTAGTTGAAATAGATGGCCCCGTTGGACCACGATCTTACATACATTAAAACGATAACGTGAGCTTGGTAGGTCACTACCAGGGCTCGACACTAACTTTTCAACTTGCTAGCCAAGTGGCTGGTGACATCTTAGATGCTACGACAATGTCAGTTCGTTTACCAGCCAAACTGGCTTATGGAAACCAAAATCCACTAGCCAAAACTGAATTTCTGCTAGGCTGTGGCTAGTGGGTTACCGTTGGTGTCGAGCCCTGCACTGCACAAAGGGCAGTCTCATGTGCAGCCGTTGCTTGACACTGTTTACATGTAGCAGTCCTTTTTATGGTGGCGACTTCTAATAACGGCTGCAAAGAAGACTTACGAAGGAGGCACTGTTCGGTGTGTTAGATAGCTTAATTTGGCACAGTTACAGTATTTTCTAGTAACGGCTGCAACGAAGACTTACGAAGGAGGCACTGTTCGGTGTGTTAGATAGCTTAATTTGGCACGATAGCTTAATTTGGCACAGTTACAGTATTTTCTAGTCCTCCTGTACCTTGTGTTCATTAATATGTAGTATCAAACTTGGTAGTTTGGCATGAAGATTCACTGCAGGATACTGGGGATCAGCAGTAAAGAGAAGTCTCCTGCAATAAATACAAAATTGCTTTGTCCAATAAACATTCGATAAAAAAGTAGAAAGCAGCTTCCATCGTGTAGGAGTGCACTCTCCACAAAAACAGTATAACACAAACCCAACTCAATGTTTGACAGAAATATTTGACAGAAATATTTGACAGACATTCTCCTTTCAAGCAAGAGAACTGCCATCAATAATTTATTCATATTCTGAGAAAGGAACAACAAATAAAAAATATTCCTCACCTTTCCAGTTGGATTGATATCGTAAACTTGTCCACAACATGCGCATCACTTGTAAGGAATGGTTTGCTGGCAACTTCTGACCAGTCTTCCTTTACATTACACACTACCATTTGAATGTCGGATAAGTCTAGGGTGTACCTTAAAAGCAAAATATACAATACTACTTCAGTAGTCCAGTAAAAAGAGCCAAGCCATTTTAACTTGTTAAGCGCAAATAGTGGGGTTTGCTCCGCTGGCCACTGTGCCCAAGGGTTCAATTCCCAGACCTAGAGCGAGCGATCAAACGGCTGCGCATGGAAGAACTTTGTACGAACTAGGTGGCGCGCTTTTAGGCTGTCAGGACGTAGTTGTCTCACAAAAGCTACAAACATCCACACAAGCCAGTAAGTCACGGTGTTTTAAAAGCGCACACCTTTTTAGTAAAGCTCAAAACAATGGTAAATCAACAGGATACGCGACAATGAGCCTTGAGTTGGAAAAGTCGTAAGTTTTCCTCTTTCCTATTTTTTGTTTCCTTTATCGATTTCTATGAACGTCCCACTTTTCTTTCGCTTACTTCGCGAGACAGCGGTTGTTTGTTGTTTTCTAAAATTGTGCGCGGGAAATTGGTGCGCGGGCAGCCATGTTTGATCACCGTACGCACGCTCAACGTTTGACAGCTGTGTCACAAATAGTAGGATGTGCTCCGCTGGACACTATACTCAAGGGTTCAATTCTCAGACCTAGAGTAACTAAGGGGTCGAATTTCGCATTGATCTCATCCTTCCACAGATAATTTTCCGTGGTTTCTACAATCTTCCATCCTTCGTAACGACCAAGTCTCTAACGACCCTTAAAAGACATAAGAACTGAACTTCCTCCTAGTTTGGAACTGTTCTGTTAGTACTATATCTCGCTCAATGCTTGGTGAATTTTACACGCGCAGTACATTGAATGGAAACTGAAAAATGTACCTGTACAAGCAACAAGAATTCCAACATACCTTTCATACATCTTATCAATGATAGTCTGATTGCTCACTCCACTGAGAAGAGCATCTGTTGAATCACTGATTGACATATATTCCTCTTCCTCACCTACCGGAGGGGTACTGGGAGGGGTCACAAAAGAGTCATCTGTATCGCCAACAAGAGAAAAGAAATCTTAGTGCTTTACCTACAACTTCCGAACTAAAATAACCACAAGAAGATCCGATACTTCACATTGCAATAAAACGAATAGAGAAATGAGAGGTATTAGGCACAGGGAACAGAGTTTTGAGTACAAACAATTTGTAAAACATTCTGACCTTGTGAACCATTCCGGTCGGAATAAACTGAAAAATTTATGTTTTTCGCAATTAATAAAAGTATTATACATGCATGTGTACTCCCTTCGGGACTTGATAGTGTTCCACACTACTCCAAGCAGCTACAAAGATATATATTAAAAATGAAATTTTATTACACGACTCGGGCAGTCAGAGGGCCAATAACTAAAATCAACCAATCAAAATGCTCTATTGCCGGTCAATATTCTCTCAGTATTGGATCGGGCACTGTCCCGAATGGTCCCGAATGATACCGCACTTGTGTCTCTTTGAACTTCAGTCGTATAATAAATCTCTTATTAACCAAGCTTGCTCGGGACCGTACTGGAAGAATATCGGCCCTTGATCTTTTTTGTACGGACCTAGCTGCGCTCGGTCCGTACTGTCAAGACCTCGGGCCGATATTCTCCCAGTACGGCCCTCGCGCTTGGTTAATAAGATATATATATTTACCACCTCTGATTTTTATTGTATTTACCTTCCATATCCGGTTTTGAGTCTTGACCCTCTGAAATTGTCTTCTTCCTGTTAAGAGCTTGAGTGTTTACAAAACTTAAATGACCAAAGTCTATCAAAACCTGAGGAGAAAAAGTGGCATCGTAATATTGCAGAATACTCTGACAACAACAGCTTTTGTATGACAAAGGTAAATGTAGTCAAGCAGCTAAAAAAATTCAAGATCCACAAAATAACACAATTCGCATTATTTAATTAGTAACAACGATGAGGACAAAAGTCTCAGTTATTGCTGGAAAACAGTGCAAGATAATCTACTCGAGAAAAAACAAGTGGAACCTACCATTGAGGCTTTCTTGTCCTGAAAGCTCTCTGGAACAAGAAATCTAGGTGCAGAAATGTCCAGTTGAATATCCCACCTCTTTGACTGGCCCTAAAGCAAATGTAAATAATTCTTAGCCCAATGATTCACTTTCATTGGCGATTGCATGTTACGTTTGTTTGAATTGAAGAGGTCATGATTAAGCAGTGAACTTTTGAATACCATTTACAACCAAATATTAAACGCAGCTAAACAACAGCAGTTGCTATTAGAAATTACTGCAAAATGATTTTTAAGACAACTTTATTTAAGAAAGGGTTTGGTGTTGATGACTTGGTAATATTAACTGTATGCACAACCGCACAAAATTCATCCACTTAGAGCCAAAAGAATTTTTGGAACTGCTTGACTTTCTTAAAAATCATCTTACACTCTTAAGAAGTTTGATACTGCGATTTAAAATTCCTTCCAAAATAACAAGACAAAGCTGATGCTAAACAGGAGAACATACTTGAAAATCAGCAAAAAAAATTTCCCAAAACTATTAGGTCTATTTCCTATTACAAGAGCCAGTTTAAATTTCTGTTTTCCACATACACATATGGGTTACAATACACCTTTACCATATCTGATCCATCCATCATTGCATCAAGTGTTTGAACTAGTTCAGCTCTGGTTTGGTTTTTAAGCTCCTCATATCTGACACGCGCTACTTCACGAAGCTGTCTCTCAATGTGAAGGGCCTGGGCACCTTCCATCGATGTATGGGAAAAGAACTCTGAGATGTGGTTAAGCACTGCGGGATTGTATACAACATCCAGAGGCTGTGTGGTTACCGATAATCTGGACATTACCAAACAAATGCAAATTACAGGGTTAGGGTTTGTGCTTCTGATGTATATAATTTATGCTGTAGTTCAATTTTATACTTGGTTCAAATTTTATTTTCCTTTGTTCTCGGTCATGTTAATGTATGATAATGAGTTTGAAACAAAGGGAAGTAAAATCTGAACCAAGGATAAAATTGAACTACAACATATACATGTGTATACAGTATTCTATCTTGTTACCTTGCCGGGGGATCACATGAGATAGCTTGGGAATAAATGGATCAGTGCTTAGTATGCTTCACTAACAATCGCATCAACTACTCCTAAGTCAACAAATCAGCTGTGCAAGTCTTCAGAATCTGATGTTTTGCAAACATTTCTATTGACTGCTTTTAAGAATTCAACTGATTCTAGAGAGGCAGCAAAAAGACCTCCAGCAAAAAGGCAAGCCATTAACATGAAACTAGCCCAAAATTTAGCTTTTGATGATAAGAGCCATGCATTCTCTGATGATACCCAATGCATTCAACCTGTAACTCTCGCTGTAGGTTTTTTCCTCTTCACTAGAGTAGCAACAAAGCAAGACCCCCCCCCCCCTCGCCTGAGGGTAATTTAGATGAACAACTTTTGTATTGGCATCCCTCCATTTAAATGTCAAGGATGATCACTTAACAATGCCTTTAAATTGGCAAAATACATGGAACAATGAAAAAAAACAACGACATAAGAGCACAAACAACTAGACAAGGAGGTTTGAATGATGACAATTATAGGTAGAAAAATTGTACTGAGACCATGTTTCATATTTTTTTATGTAAGAGAACACGAGGTTGTGTGGGCTACATAATCATACGAGGTAGAACGTTGATGTTAAAACAGAAAATATTAAGAACTTTTACAGTAACAAAGTACACCATGCAAGACAAAAGCAGTAAACATGAAGAATGCTGGGAGATCAAACCGAACCTGTAACCAACTTTACTTGCAGGTGGTAAAGATTCAAATTTCATTTCAAACACTGGATCATTCATGTCTTGTAAAATATTGAGTCCCAAAGTTGCTGCAGATGTTACCATAGCTCCAACTGAACCTTTTACGACTGTTGCTTGTTGTTTTTTGGTAAGGGAGACTTTCTGTTATATCAATGAAAGATTTGTACAATGTTAAGACCCTTCAACAGTATTATGATATCCAGTTTTCAATAAAATGAAACATCTACAAGTACAGGGAGAGCTGAAGCCGCACATTTATCTCATAAAAGAGGACAAACTAAGTCTGTCTTATCTCTATCTTGTTTCAGAGCAGCTCTACTCATACATGAAAAGTTATGAGCTATGGTGATTAAAAACATGGAAAAATGGGGGCCTTAATAGTAACCTTTGAATGTCATCACTAACACATTAATCATCTCAAGCTTAATTTATATTAATTTAAAGACAAAACAAGGGCCATTCTCTCCCCTTACAGTTACTGTAAAAAATACATAAACATGTAACAGCAAATTCAAAGCCACCATTCTTTCTTCCCTAGTTTAATGCAAATGGAATACTTTACTAGAGTACCTGCTATCTACACCCAGCTCCAAACCAACCATTATTTTAAGAATCAAAAACATACCTGGGACTCTCTACCTTGAGGACAGACCAAAGCTGGAAACAGTGTTCCTGTGGTGAGTTTATCTCGCACAAACAGAGCCCCCAGACTCATGCTAAACTCCCACGTGCTAGAGCGAGGCCGCATTTCTGAATTCCACCTCAAGTCTGAAAACTCCACCTCAACAACTGGCAAGACAGTTGTTGTTTGAGAAAAAGAGTTTGATTGTTTGGTATTGACCAATTTAAAGGAGCCTGTGTCCAATCTGAAGTTCAAGTGTGCAAACACTTGATCTCTATTGAAGATGGATTCACTGAGATGGCTATCAGCCAGCTCACCGAGGAATTCCTCTTCCTCTGCAAAACAATGGGCAGGAAGATTAACAAAGACATTCCCATATAACAGTGGAATGAATATATCTTATTAGACATTTTGTTGTGTAGTATCGCTGAGTATTTTTACGAGTTGTGCTGTATTTTGACGAGCCCATAGGGCGAGTCAAAATACAAATAACGAGTAAAAATACTCAGCGATACTACACAACAAAACGTCTAATATGTTATTTATTATCCAACACGCCAAACTGTTAATTCAGTGTGGGCGAATTTCGCGGATGTTTATTTATGGGGAGTGTGTGACAGAAGTATGCGAAGTGGAACGGAATTGGCGCGTTGTTGTGCTGCTGTTTCTATTTTCTTCATTAAATGAAGAAATTTTCTGGTCGACAAGCTGTTTTTCTTCATTCAATTCATCTAATGAACCTGGATCTGTATTTGCCAGCCATTCTGACTCTTCATCGTCGGAAATATGATTCAAATTGTCCGCCATTTGTTTTTTTTCGTAACTACAATCCAATTCTTTGCTTACGCGATGCGAGAAAACCTGTTTAACCGCTACTACAATAGACAAGTACAAATACCACGTGATATTTGTACTCGTCTATGGTGTTATTTGTACTCGTCTAGGTGTAGTTGGATAATAATTGATATTACATTATGGTAAGCAAAATTATTGAAGCATTTTGATTGTTTCTTACTTAAAAATTGATCTATTGGAGGACAGGCACATACAATATAGATGACCTCACCATTAACATTTCACTTCTTTATCACATAAAACATTGATCTCTTCCAGGTTGGTGTGGCCTGAACAGTAATAGACCACAAAAGACACCGAAATGTGGTAAGTACATCTAACACACTCAGCTGAGCTGAGCTGTGCCACTTTTTTGTTCTCACCACCTTTTAGCATCACCTGTGATGTATTACTGAACAGACAACATGATGTCCATCTTTTAACATGACTTGTATGCCATATACATTAATTTTGTACCAATTGAATGTAAGGATATGAAATACTACAATTTATCAGGTAAAGGTAACGAATCTGATCCAACCGACGCCTCAGCCAACACGTTGACCAACGCGTCGGTTGGATCAGATTCATTACCTTACCCATTTATAGGACATTAAGGAAATAAAGGAAATATACACAAAGACTAAAGTGGAAAGCTCTAGAATATTCAAATACACCTGTAAACCTAGCTACCACTGAAAATAAACACAGCCTTGAACAAATTTCAGAGTGCTGAAGAACCAATAAAACAAAATTCTACTCAATCCACAAAATGTAAAAGGCCGACAAAGTATAATACTAAAGCAACAAACAAAGAGCCTTTTTCACTTATAGATTAATATTAGGCCTACAGAAGCCATACTGTAAGTCAGTGTGGGCACAAACTCAGCCCATTCATGCATATGCACAGTACGTTCTGGGTTTAAACTATAAGATCACTCCTCTCAAAGGGGTTTCAAAACAAGCCAGCAACTGCCAGAATTCCACCAGCCACTTGATAACATGTCACATGTTACTCTGTTCAATCAGAGTTTGCAGAGTCTGAAGCCCACTTCAAACATTTTGAAACCCCTGCTCTTATATATATTTGAGGGAATTCTGCATTGATGCTCCATGTTCAACTTACCCTTGGTAGTAGGAGGTTCTCCCATGAACACTTGACTTGTGTCAGTCTCTATTTTTGCTCCAGGTGCTGTTCCATCTGTAGTATCTGTTCCGTACCAACTGTACCACCCTGTTAACCAGCCTTGCCAACCCCCAGATCCTCCTCCTGAGGCAGAAGGGACCTGGTCTGGTACCCCCTTCTGCAAATCCTGAACTTTGGTGTCTGCTTGAATCTGCTCACAAAATAATGTTGAAATAAAAGAGATGTAAATGGAAAAGGGATCCATTAAAAGCTTTCTTAAAAACAACTCTAATGAGCAGACTATTTGACCTCAAAGTGGTCCTTTGCACATCCTTCAGTACAGATAATCTCATAATTTCCATAATTAGTGCATGCACCATTAAAGAAAAAGCCACATTTTTCCTTCTGCCAAGAGGTTGCCTTATCAAATTTGATTCTTATTTTCTTAAAAACTAAGTTGGTGACTCGTTTTAAATTAAGCAATAAATATTATTTCTTCTTCAGCAAAGAAATATCTAAAAGACAATTCAAAATCCTCATGAATTTGGCCAATCTTTATTTACACATTTAGTTACCATTGTAAAATAATAAATGCGAGTACATCTACAAGTACACTGTATATTGATACAAGGTATCTCCACTCTGAAAAATATTTGCCATACTTCCACCACCCCCCCTCCCCTCCCCTCCCCCTTTATCATTTCTATCAATAACCTCTAGTTCGTATGAGATAAACAAGTAATAGAAAAGCATGGAAAAAATGACAGGGCAGGTTCTGCATCTGAGTTATGCATTCTTAAGTCACTTTACAAATGCTTATTTCCTAAAATAAAATTCTAAATTAAAACCTCAAATTTCAAATTACCTTTCATGAATGTCATTTAGCAGCTTAAGCTTTTATTTTTTTGAACAATTTATTGACAAATAAGAATTATATAATAATTTGATGTTTTGTATGTATACCTTACTGATTTCACTTTCTGCCCTTGTTTGTGCAATAGATCTTAACACAACCAGCTCCTCAAATGTTAACTCATCCTCAATACGATTTTGTTCCTCCTACAGAAAAAGGAAAGTAATAGCAGATTAACTCCTTGTTCAGATTTCAGATTTGTTAACATTATACTAAATAACATCAAAGTCTAAATAAAGTCTAGTTCTCAAATTTATCATTGAAATTTTTTCTATAACCTAAGATATAACAGTCCATTGTATTAAGTGTGCTCAGCTTAAGACAAAATTGGCCTACAAACTTGAAGACTAACTTTATCCTTTTTGCAGCTTTTTTCAAGAATTGAGGATGGGGGAAAAAAACTGAGTTGAGTATGGGGAAAGGACACCTAAAATTAAAAGGATATACAAATAGAGTACATGTGTACCTTGAGTGAAGGTTCCACTGAACCAGTTATAAGATGCTGTGAATATAGGTTCACATATTTCACCACATCACTTGCTCGTTTCACCGCAAAGCTCCAAGTTTGTCGTATATTTCTCTCTTTAATTGACTCCATGATGCATGTAAATGCAAACTTCCACCATCCTTTTGCACTGACAAAAAAGAAAACACATAATAGCATTCTTACTGTAAGAGCCCAAGGATCACTGCTTAACCTGTTATTTCAAAAGCCTGCATTATTAATTGCAGCTTCAGTACTTATCTGTTCTGTTGCAGTCAGATCTTTGTTTACTAACCATCCTTCCAAAAAAATTCCTCTCTTAATACATCTATAATTATTTTATCAAAACTGGTTTGATGTAGTTGGGTTCACACTAAATCTTGATTGACATACATTGTATACATCAAACAGCCTCACTTTGAATCATTTTTGGCATCATTATAATTATGGTGCATCATGGTTCAACTTAAACTCTTCCATGCAACTTTAAAATTTGTCACAGATCTTGGAAGAAAAGTTTTTGAACCAATAAAAATTTAAAGTGCAACACGAATGTCAACAAGTTAAGTTACAGCTGGTTCTGTCTTCCATGATTAACTTCTTATTAAACAACTATAGTAGGGCTACATGTTCACAATTATACAAATCACATATAACATACAAATAAGGAGGCATAGATTGAAAATCCTAAGCAATTCGTTAAGGTGACTTTTGTCATAGCACCCTTACTTGTTCCTAATAGGACGTTTTGGTCTCCATTTTAAATAATGGCGCTGTCTAAAATGCCTCTCAAACCCATCCATAAGGGCAATCAGCATCTTGTACTGTGCTTCTTCAAGTGATAATGGAATCTTTCCTACATGGACATCCACCACAAACCGTGGCATTTGCCGTGACCTGAGGGGCAAAGCACTAGAGTTGCGCTTCATCCTAGCTTGTGCACTTGTTGGCTCCAAGATATATTGATGTTTCTATAGGAAAAATTTTTAAAGGGGTGGTTTGAGCTAAAACATATTGAGGTTTCTCTCCTGACTGAAATTTCTCAAAAATGCATTCAGTTTAAAGGACTCACACAAAAGCCAGCTTTTCCTTGGTTTCTATTGATCATTCGTCGAAGGGCACTCTGAAATTAAATTAAAGTATTTCATATCATACAATAGCTATTTGAAGCTGAATGACATCTACAAAGTAGTCTTGGAGCCCCTACATGTAGATCCTCAGAGAATGTTGAGACACTCTTACATGTATGATGCTGATGATCACAGCCATTCAATACCTTTCTTATAAAGTATTCTCTTCTTGGCCACAAAAAATAATCATAATAATAACAAGTTGCCAGTAGAGTACAAAACAGCATAATTATAATCTCTTTGAATTATTTTACAATGAAATAGGAAAGGGGACAATAGAAAATTAACAAACATAGGAGATGCAAAGACCAACTAGATATCCTCATCCTGATCTGAAACACACTCTTACACATAATGATGCTCATGATCACAGCCAATATCCTCACCCTAACCCTGACCTAAAAGGACCTACCATTAAACTTTTGCAACCACAAACAGGAGGAGGCGTGGCTGAGTGGTTAGGGTACTGGACTTGTAATCTGGTATCCCGCATTCAAGTCCTCCACCCTGCCACTCACTGGATTTGTTCTCGGTTGCCCCTAGTTTAACTCCTCTGCTACGCTCTGTAAATAGCCCACTGGTCTCCCTCCTGCCAGTGGGGATTTTTAAGCTCTTAGTCTACATTGTAGCTGAAAAGCCCCTAAGGGGGAGCTTCAATTAACGTATATTATTATTATTATTATTATAAATACAGCAATCAACTTATCCCTGAAGCAGAGAGTTATCAATGGTGAAACAAAAGTAAAATTGAACACAGTAAATGTAGACTACAAGTATAATGACCACCTTGTAACTCAAATAATTGGAATCAGATACAAAACAATAAGTACACCCACCTCAAGATCTCTGGATGGCAGATCACCCACAAGGGTCACATCAGTATCCCAGTAAATAGCCATGTTTTGAAGCTCAATCAATTTGTACTTGATTGTGCGTTCATTTTGGATGATCTCCTCTGGATTCTACAACAAACAAAAAATCTATAACATCCTGTGAGAGTAAGCTGAGAGAATTCACCCAATGACCCTTAATCATATTTTTTTTTAAATACAATGCATGCTTAAACCATGTTTTTCACACTTTTGTATACTGTGGTAGGTTCTAGCATTCAATTGTTAACTTGAGTAGAATTGACTCCTCTAATTTGCAAAAGATTTTCAGTATTCATTAAACAAATTGGAAACTAAGCCTCATTCCCTTACATGTAGGTACACAGATGCAAGAATCAGTAAAAAATGTCTCAATATAATTATGATATCTATAAATTTACTACTCAATTCAAACCATTCTCCCTTCCTCCTAAATTTTTAGTGTCTCAAGAAGGTCCTGCTTCCTCAAATGAGCTCAGAGGTAATGCTATCAGTTTGTTAACTTATGCATGACCACAAGAAGTGATCACCTTATCACAATGACCGACAAGGTTGTTTTGATGAGGTGATTTAGTAAGGGGGTAAAGGCTGATAGTTTCTAAAGAAACTGTTAGGGGCTGCGTCAGTGGGGGTAACAAAATAATTTGGATATATCAACAAAGTTGAAATGGTAAATTGGCCACCGTAACGATTACAAAAGCTGACGTTTTGAGCGTTAGCCCTTTGCTACATGTAGCAAGAGTCTTCCTTTAAACGCTTACACCCAAACATCGGTACTACATACTGTTTTCTACCGTTATTTCCCATGATGCTGACAGCGAGAATTCGCTTACCAGTCAATACCTTCTTTTGTTAGGCGTCGTAAAATTCAGACAATGTTTGGATTTAACTTCTACTGTTTCATGATGAAACAAAATTCTTTCATTTGTTTTCAGTTTGTAATTACAAGTGTTTCAGGATGATTTTTCCGATTTCTTTCAATATTCAATGTTTACAATACAAGTAGTCAAGATTCGAATATCCAGCAACAAGAATAAGTGGCATAATCAAGGAAATAAGGAACAAAATTTATTGCAATAGAGAACTCTTTTGCGTACAACTCTTGCTTGTTGCAAATAGAACAATTTTCAAGATTGCATTGGTTTTGCGTTTTTCCCGCGGTTTAGGCGGTTTGCTTGTTTTCACTTTGAGTTCTCATAGGCGCTCCCGGGTGTTTTTCTTTCTTCTGATTGGCCGTTCTAAAAACTTTGGTTTTGTTTGACACTCAATCGAATAGCGCTCTAAATGAGTAATATAGTTAAAGGGGTTTCGTGGCTTGCATGACGCAGCGTTTCGTCTCGGCCAAGAGACTCATTAGGTACTTTTGGTAAATTTATAGGACAATTTTTCATGGTATATATTGTAACTTGAAAAGTATCTGATGAGCCTCTTGGCCTAGACGAAACACCGCGCCATACAAGCCTAGAAATATTTCCACAAGTATTTGAGAATTTGTCATTGTGTATAGTTTATGAGTTACAACTGAAATTGGGGATCTAGTGCTCGTTTCACGTAAAGTAACCCTTTTGAAGTTTTCTTTTGTGATTAAGTTGTTGTATATAAATAAAAATCTCAACCACTGTACTGGTAGAGCTCTTTTGAATGCAGGATCTACGAAAAAATTAGCCATTTAACCAAGATGCGGATGTCTGGAAACTAATAATGTCTGTCAGGAGTTTCAATAAAACCGGGTTACTGGCG